AAAAGGACAGCAACCTGTCTGTTCCCCTTCCCCCAATTCCCCAGCACTGTTCCCATCCCCCCAATTCCCCAATAAAAATCTTAAAAAAAAAAAATTGGCGGCTGGGGACCAGAAGGGGAAAGTGTGGGCGATTCACCACCTACAGCCACCAGAGTGTGGGGATGGAAACCCCTGCTCTCAGGAGAACGCTATTTTCTTTCCTGCCACCATTTTGTAGGTTTGCAAGACCACGGGAGTAACGTTTACGCTATAATGGCACAAGGACAAGCCAGAGGGTGACAAGAGATGTGTGTGCAGGACGACCAGAAGCTTCTAGACAAACATGAAAGTCTCTTCAGAGGGAAAAAGAGTGGAATGAGAAGGTCAATATGGTGCCATGGTGTCTCAGGGTGTGGGTCTGGCTGGCCTTTCCTCTCTTTGTACTATTAATATATCGCTGTTGCTGGATTTTCTCGGATGAGCTTAAGAGTGGAAAAAAGAAAGGCATTTTATTTTTTTTAAAAAGATGCAATGGAACAGGAATGAAATGACACTTGGAAATTGTATCGTAAGTACGTCCAGTTTAACACCTCGGCTACGGCAGAGAGAAAAAGGAATGTAGAAGGGGTGAAGTGCGTGTCAGAACACAGCATGATGTGACACGCTGCTGTCACCCACCACGCCTGGGGCTCTGAGCAGAGGCCAGGCCTCCATGCCTGGATGTAAAAGGTCTCAGGGAAGAGGCGGTGGTGGTGACAGCACAAACCCTGCAGGATCCACGGAAATGCCTTGGGCGATGTCGCCAACTCAATAGCACATCTCATCTTGGGGGCTCCCTGGGGCAGGCAGGCCAGGAGGACACTGGCCCCCAGGACTTTACCTCAAAGGCCTCTTAATGTAGACGCTGGTGTTCTCACCAGAGCAGGTCATGTGGACAAGCAGATTGAAGAACAACCACTTGGTTGTTCCCCTTCCCCAATTCTGCAACACAGCTCCCCTCCCCCAATTCCCCAATAAAATCTTAAAGAAAAAAAAATAACATCTATCTTAGGGTTACTGAGAAGATGCAGTGAGTTCATTCATGTAAAGCATCTGGAACAGGGCATGGCACAATATAAGGGCATTACTAAGATTGGTTTCTACTGTTAACTGAAAAAATCAAAATGAAACAAAAAACAAACAAACAAGGGGCATTTGATGCTTGGTGCCCAGCAGACAGTAGGTACTCAACAAATATTTGTTGAATGAATAAATGGCGAATTTGGTTTTGGGGTGGGGGGAGACACTCTTGGACTGTTGATTCTTAAACAGCTCAGCATGAGATAGTAGAGTTCAGAGGAACGCTGCTTTAAATTCCAACCCAGACAGCTACAGGGGACACTTTATTAAAACAGAACCCTGGCCGCGCATTGCCTCGAAAGGGAGGGTGGTTCCCAGTGATGACTTCATGGAAAGGACACAGTGAACCTCGATCCTGGGTTTATTTGCTCCATAAATTGAGAAGTCCCGGCTGGCTCGGGAGCCTTGCTCCCTGCCAATCCTGACGGCAGAGGGATTTTCTGAATGGCAAATTAAAATGAAGCGAGCACCTGCCCCCTGTCACGTCTAATTGCTCTGGGCTTTGCAAAGACTTGCAGGGCACAGTCACAGAAACTTTGATTTCTTTTCTCGGAGTAGGTTAGAAGACACACCTAGGAAGCATTCACTAAGTGAAGTTACAACGACTGGCCCCATAAGAAAAACATTGTTTGGTCTACTAGTATTCTTGGTGGGCCTAGAGGTGTTGAATTGTGATGATTTTGGATAAGCACAGATTAACTATGGTTCCGTTTTTATAAATCTTTCCCCAGGGGCAGGTTTAGAACATTCCAGCAAATTCTTCTGGAAGCCGTCTCTTTTTCAGGGGTTGGGTACCTGACTTCTGGAATCCATGTCCTGGAAGTGTTTTTCCCTAGAAGCCAGATATACCACTTATTCATTCAAGAAATATTTTTTTTGAGTATCCACTGTATTAACTTTTATATGAAATAATATGCATATGCTAATTAATGCAATCAAACCTTTGAAGAATGTATATCAACTCTTAATGGTGGCGATTCTGGGAGGCAAGGTCAGGAGTGGTTGAATTTTTTATAAAATGCATGTATTACTTTAATGAGCAGGAAAAAAACACATAGAGAATCATAAGGAGAGTCATGGAGAATTTGTGGAAATCTCAGCCTCAATGATTGGAGAACAGACAGAAGAGGCTGCAGGGTGGGGACGTGGTTTCCGAGCTCAGAAAAACACAGTCCCAACTCAGGCTGGAGGCAGGCGCTTCTCGCCCTGATACCCAGCGGCCCCTGCTCTCCATTTGCCAGTGACAGGAGAGCTTGACAACCAGTCCAAAGCGGCAAGTTTGACCTTCCCCCGAGCTCCTACCTTAAATCTTGGCCATTGTCATCGGATGAGACATCATCGACGTGGATCTGGTCACAATCCTATGGAGAATTGGCAAGAAGGGAGAGAAATGTGACTGGTTCATCTGATGCCGCCCTTAAGAGTTGGTTTCATAAACTGAATGGTGAATGAACACTGGACTGGGAGGCGGAGTCCTGCATTCTAGTCTGAGCTTTGCCACTGTTAGGTGACCTTGGGTGAAGTATCATCTCTGTTTTGCCTTTCTTTGATTTCTTTATAAATGAGCAGGTTGGCTGTAAGGGAGGGGAATGACTGTATAATTGATCATGCAAACCGAGATAGCTTTGCAAGTAAAAGGGGCTGCTGTTAATATTACATTGGGAGGACAGGCACAAAATGCGACGATGCCCCTCTACCCCTAGGTACGCCAGGATATACCGTGGAAGCCTTTGCCTTGTTCAAGGTGTTTCCTCTGTCTGGAATGCTCTGACCTTCACCTGCTTAGTGGACCTTGATTCTTCAAGCATTAGCTTCTGGACCTCCCCCCGCTTTCCAAGTCCCCCTCCGTGTCCCATGATCTGTGATCATCATTTATTGAGCACGTACTATGTGCCAGGCACCATCTCAAGGGCTTGTCATTCAATGGGCTCCAATGACAGGCTGCTTTCCACCACCCATAAGTCTCTCAGTTCCCTTTGGGGAAACACCTTATCAAATGTGGGTTGAGACCACAAGGAGGGGGATGATGAAAGTGGGCACATGACCCAGGCTCAACCAATCAGAGGGACCCAGCATCCCTCTGGTTAAAGTGATCGCTTCCGAGATGAGCATGTGGTCTAAGCTGGACCAATGGGAATCAGCCCTGGGACTCTGGCTGGGACTTCTGGAAAAGAGGTGCTCTCCTTTCAGTGGGGCTGCTGAAGGGTGGGATTAAGCCTGGAGGTGCTGCAGGAAAGCCGGTCTGGGAGCTGGAGAGAGGGGTGAGGCCCTGGTCACATGGTTTGATGGCCTGGATCCAGCCACAGCTGAAAGTAGGCCATCCTGACTGTGGTCAGCTGAACACTGGCCTCCCAAAGATGTCCACCTCCTAATTCCCGGAACCTTAGACAGCAAAGGGACTTTGCAGATGTGATGAAGTTAAAGATCTTGAGGTGGGGAGATTATCCTGGATTCTCCAGGTGGCCCTGAGGTAATCACAAGCGTCCTGTAAGTAAGAGGCCGAGGGATATTTGATGATCAAGAGGAGACGGGGATCGGAGCCACACACTTTGAAGATGGAGGAAGAGGCTGCAAGCCAAGAAATACAGGTAGAAGCCCAAAAGGCAAAGAACAGGTTTCCCCTCAGAGCCTACAAAAGAAACCAGCCCTGCCGACACCTGCAGCCCAGGGAAACGGATTTTGGACTTCTGGCTTCCAGAAGTGTAAGAGAATACATTTGTGTTGTTTTAAACCACTAAGTGTGCAGTAATTTGTTACAGCAGCCATAGAAAATGGATGCCCGGACTTCTCAGTTTGAGCTAGTAGGGTTGGATTTCTGTCACTTTGCAACCGGGAGTTAAGAGCGATGCAACGTCCCCCCCATGGAAGCTACACGTGACACACACCAATCCTGTCGCCTCTACCTCCACCTCCACCAGAAAGCACATTCGGATGATATGCAGATACGGCAAAAACTGGGAGCCTGCTGTGCCAGCCCCCGTGGTACTGGTTAGAGCTCAGGCTCCTGAATCTGACCACCTGGGTTTGGATCCTGAATCCAACCACTTCCCAGCGGTGTGACCTTGAGCAAGTGACCTAACCACCTGAACCTCAGAGATCAGATTGGTAAATGGAGGTAATGAGGAAACCTACTTCACAGGGTTGACGTGAGGAGAGGTGAGATGCTACATTAAGAGCATCTTGTACAGTGCCTGGCACACAGTAGGTGCTCCATCAATTTTTATTATTGTGTTAGGATTTATACACATCCATATTTCGTTGCAACGTAATTTCAGGAGGCAGATCTCTCTTGCAAAGACTGCTAAGGGGAGGAGGAGAACATGGAACTCTGAGCTTGACCTCTGAGAAAAAATTGGTTGGGACATCCTTTATGGGAGGATAGAATCTGGGGGAAAATAAAGTGTTTTCAACATTTTGAGGAGATCTCTTTTTATACAAGAAACAGGCTTGAATTCATCTTTGAGAACAGGAGCTTAGCTGGGGTGGGGGTGGGGGGCGGTGATGGGAAACCCCTTCCCTCATTCATGTTTTAAAGATATATAGAGGTAAAGTTGTTGTTATGGAGACATGGGGTTGCAGTGGGGTTGGAAACAGGGGCATTAGGGCAGGCTGGGATGCTTTGTGGGGAGTGAGGCTGGAACCTGGGAGAAGAAGGGGAGAATGGCAGCTGGGGTGGTGTGGCCACTGGTCCCTCTCTGGCCCCCTGAAGAGGCTCTGGATTGGAGAGGGGTTTGCTGGAAGGTGAGGTCTGTTCTAGGGTCGTTGGCACGCTCTGGGTCACAGCTCTGTGACAGTGACAAAGTAGGACTGAGTCCAGGAGCTGCTGTTGTCCCTCTGCGCAGGACCTGGCACATCTGTGGGACCCGGACAGTTGCCTGGGCATGGGCAGTGGTGTGCTCTGATAGACTGATGGCAACAGCAACAGGTAAGTTCCACCAAGTGGCTTCCTAGGGGTCAGCCATGGGTAGGGGCGAGTTGGAACAGATGACAAAAAACGTGGTGATGCTAAATGGCACCTCTAGTTGAGAAACTCCTTGGAGAGTGCTGGAAAAACCTGGGTGACACTGAGTAACCACTCTTGAGCCAGCAGATACCTGGCTCACACCTAAATATTTTTTGCTCATTATTCCATATTTCCTTTCTTTCCATGTACCTAGGACTCTAACTGCTGCTTAATGTATTCTCTGCTCCCCAAGACAGACTGTCCTTTTCTGAAGTAGCTTAGCTTGATGGTGCACCCCAATTTAAAAGATCTATCGTATAGTGATGCTGTCTAATATCGTAGCCATTAACCATATGCACTTATTTACAGTTGCATTTAAATTAATTAAAATTAAATAAAAACGAAACACTCAGTTCCTTCGTCCGATTTCCAGCGCTCACTCGCTCCTTGTGGCCAGCGGCTTCCATATTGGATGGTGCCTGTATTTCCATCGTCACAGAAAATGCTATTGGACAGCGCTGTTCTAGAGGCGTAAAGGAAATAGGCTGACAACTTCTAGGTTGGTAAGTTCAATTGGGGAAGAGAGTGCAAGCTGGCCTGGAGACATAGCTTATTTAGCCACACTGTGCTTAAAATATCTTTTGAAACAATAGCCAGTGTGTAAACCCAAGGGATCTCTCTCCAGATTTGCAGCTACTTTGAGAATTTACACGCCCCAGCAATGTAGGGCTCGCGTTCCTATATCCCGACCATCAACTGCCTGATCATCAACTGCCAGTTCCCCGCTGTGTCTACTGGGTTTTCTTCACCTTTCATCACCTGATCACTTGGCCCCTGTGGGCATTCGAGCTTGAGAGCTCTGATGCACAGCCGTCTTAGAGATGGGAGATGGACGGGGCCTAGGGACGGCTTCCCTACATGTTAACGAAAGCTGTATTTAAAAGCCAACGCGGACTTTGCAAACCCGGGCACAGAGAAAACAGAATTAACAGCAGATTCCCACCCCCGCCGCCCCATCCAATTGCTTTGCCTGAAATTGGAAAAACACCTCCTTATGCCCCCCAGTCCGTCCCTCAAGCTCGAAAGCTGCTCTGGGGGTCACACAGGCTCAGGCCCCTGGGCAGGGTTCCTTGCTCTTTCCCTGATGTCAGGGGAAAGGTATGCGGGAGGTTCTGGTTTTCTCATTTGCAAGGGGATTGTTGGGGGTGCTAAAGTGTGACAACAGTAGCGATCACATTTCGAACTTAATAAAATACCATGACGCTCAGCGAGACACTACCTCATACTCGACCAGCTGACCCGGATTGAGTTACCCGCTGAGCCCGCGACCATGGGGCTGGGACAATGCCGAGGACATAGGACGATACTGAGCTCTTGGGGAAGTGGATCCGATGCCTCTCGATGCTGCGGCATGGGGGGCAGGCCTCTAAGGGTCAGGATGCTGGCTTTTCACAGCCCGGGGTGCTGCTGGCCTCCCTGGGTCACAGCGTGACGGTGCTGGGGGTCTGAGCGGGCCCAGCTGGCAGACAGAGGAGGGGTTCCTACTGCCACCGCAGGGGTGAGGTGCAGTGGGGCCGAGGCCCCTCCCGGTGCCACCCTGGCCTCCAGGAATTTAACTTTCTGACCCAGCGAGACACTCGCCAAGAGTCTTACTCAAGGATGTCCATCATCCCAGTGAGAAACTGGAAAACACCTAAAGTTCCCTCAACTGGATCACAGCTACTTGAAATATGGTATATCCATTCAGTGGAATCCTACCCAGCAGTTCAGAGGAGGGAGGGAAATTTTTATGTGAGCACATGGAATTAGTTCCAAGACATCCTATAGTGTGAAGAAGAAGAAAAAAAAAAGGCTGGAGAATGTAACCGAGCTGTGGAATGGTACCTACCACAGAGGGTGTTGTAAGGTTTAAATGAATCATACACGTAAAGCACGTTGAAAAGTGTCGCGCCCACAGAAAATACCACATACGCGTTTGGCATGATTATTGCTATTATTACTATTTTGAATTCTATAGGCCCACACTCTGCCCGGTATAGTAATGGTCAGATTGAATTGGGTTCACCATTGAGAGAGGCTCTCATGGATGGTCAACTCTGCTGAGGGGGCCATTTAAAAGCAAAGCAGAAAACTGCATTCCTGCATTGCAGGGAGCCAGGCAGAAGGGGGGTGGAGGGGTAGAGGCAGTACAGATGGTGCAGCTGGCGTTCAAAGGTCCCTCCCTGGGTTCTAGTCCCAGCCCTGCCATTTTTTAGGTGTGTGACTTTGGGCAATGTGCTTAATACCTTTGTCTTCAGGTTCTTTTTTCTTTTAAAATAAACTGTTAATTTTAGAATCGTTTTAGGTTTACAGAAAAATTGTGAATATAGTATAGACAGCTCCCATCTATCTAGAGAGCTCCCAGATAGCCACACCCAG